TGGGGGAGCAGGCAGGGGATGGGGCCTGGTGGGGGTCCCCCATGGTCCCCTCCTCCAGCCTTCCCCCCAGCCTCCTACTTACTGGCATGGAGTCCAGGTCCAGCTCCCTGCAGTGGTGAGTGGGGACCGCCCAAATCTCCAAAGCTCTCCAAATCTTTTCCGAATCAATTCGGAGAGCTTCAAATCGATACGGACCTTTTTATTGGTCTCCCAATTTGATTTGGATTCGGAGATTCAGCTGCCGAATTGAGCCGAATCTCCTCCAAATCAAATCAGCACCTGAAGCTTCACACAGCCCTAGACTGCACTTTCTTTGTCATGATCATGTGAGAACTACCTTGCCTATATTATCATCTGACAGAAAAACTGCCTCATGCAGCTGAGACCTGGCCCAGACCTTTGGAGACATGAGGCAAAAAATGCACCTTGCAATGAAGGTAAGCAATGGAAAGTGTTAGATGCTCATCCAAACTGTGACAGGGAGCACATTCAGGGCCAGGTCTCAACCTCGGTTTACCCACCTGTCTATATGGGTCAGTCCACCCAGTCTCGCCTGCCACAACTTTGCTGGTATAATAAACTGGTGGTAAATGCAGGAGGCTGCCCATTCTATGCACTGACACCAAGGGGAGTTAACCACGGCTCCATACCTTCCATACACAATGGCCCATTCCTCACAGATGGTATCTAAGTTCTTAATAGCTCCAGCTTCACCCTGGGCCCCATAACATCCTAGTTTGAACCCCAAATAGATCTCTCCTAGTCAGGCGGCCTACTCGGCCCTCATTCTGAGCTGCCAAGCTCTCTGTATTCTTCTCCCTCTCAGCAGTAGCCCCCACTCTTTGACCTTTGGCCACACAGGCCCTGGCCCCACCTCTAAGCCAATCAGAACCCCAGGCCCCCTGGCTTTGGGTGCCCCTTGCAGTGGGCACTCTGACCCTTTTGACCCTTCTGGTCCTGGCCCCAGCACTGATCAGTTGAGGGTGCCTTGAGTCAGGCTTCTAAGCAGTTAATCCACTCTCTCTTATATGGGTTCACCTTCTTGGGCCGTACTACGGGGTTGCCCACCCGGTTGTGGGGGCTGGGGTTTTAAGGTGCCCCAACCCACCTTTCACTGGGGCGGTTCGCGGTCCTGGTATTTTGAATGGCAATGCCCCACCACATGCAGTCCCACCAGGCCTCCTTACCCCAGCAGAGTGCAGTTTCAGGTCATGCCCAAGACCAGGAGCCTCCTGCCATCCCCATAGCTCCTGCCCTTACCTCCAAGATGCTCCAAGTAGCCACTCAGCCGGGTGATGTTGCTCCCTTAGCTGCAAGCAGCAAACTGCTGCCTCTGCCTGGATTGCCTAAGTTTGAAAATGGCCACCTTAATCAAGCACCTGCCAGCTGCCTGCTCCAGCCCTTAAAGTGGCAGGCACCAAAGGTGTACTGCCACACAAACTCTTCTGAGGTTCAACCATGTTGACCATTAATTCCACTAGTAACTTGTGCAAGATGTCAAATATTAATGCACTGTTCAACCCAACAGGTACAGAAATCAAATAAAAATCAGCATCACCCTCAGGTTGTTTTTTTCTTCCTTTCTCTTGATCCAATTCAGTGCCTGCTGCTGGGGGTCTATGCACAAGGGGAAGCGACTGGCACATGTAGTCAGAATGCCATTCTGAACAGAGAGTTCATCGGGGGGCAAACCCTGAGAACCCCACCTATGAAGGAAACAGAAGAGAGACTGGGAGGTATGTCATACTTCATGGTACAGCTACACACGTTGCTGGTGTGTAAAACATAGCTGCTCCACTGAGCATTAAGTACACTAGAACACAGAGTATTACATGATGAAAGAGTCTCCAACAGATGAATGAAAGTATCACTGCTTATGTCAGAACTAGCCTGGCAAAAGCACAGGTTAATATATTATAGTGAATAATTCTGCACAAAACAGGACAAATGAGGAAAGCCCTGATCCAAACCCACTGATGTCAACAGAAGACTTCCAAAGGGCTTTGGATAAACTCAGAGCCTAAGTCTACCTCATAAAATGTTCTAAACTGGCTTTATGTAGCTCCAGGTTCCTGAGTGATCTAGAAGAGCAAAACACAGGTGTCTATTATACTCCATGACCACAGCTTACACAAAGATTTCATAGATTTCATAGACATTTGGGCTGGAAGGGACCCCGGAGGATCATTGAGTCCAGCCCCCCGCCCCAGGGGCAGGAAGTCAGTAGGGATCACAGGATCCCAACAAGATAAGCATCCAAATGTGTTTTGAAGGCGTTCAAAGTGGGCACTTGAACCACCTCAGGTGGCAGTCTGTTCCAAGCCTTGGGGGCTCAGACAGTGAAGAAGTTCTTTCTTATGTCCAGCCTGAACTGGTCACAGTGGAGTGTGTGACCGTTCGATCTTGTCATCCCTTGTGGGGGCTCTGGTGAGACTGAACGTAAGATTTGGGATCTGAAAGTCGAAGGAGGCTATCTCTGTGATGATGGTATTTCAGCACCAGCAGTAAAGCTTCTATTCTATGAAACTTGCTATTGTTCACACTTGTAAAAGCCCAGTATCTTCAGATTCTTCCCTACATTACATTTATCCTTCTCATCTATGTTAGGTATTCCTAGAGTGCTGTACAGTATTACAGTTACCTTCAGCTGAGTACCTAAAGTGTAATAAAGAGCAGGACTAGAGCTCCAAATTCTAATTTAGGTGCTGATTCATCTGATCAGTGTGAGTAGAATACAGTATACATGATAAAGAAAGGGCTTTATTGGCTTCAGGGCTAACAGGAATAATAGGTGGTAAACATTTAATTTTGTATGCAGAGAAGACTCAAGATACATAAAGCACTTTGAGAGTCTTGGATGGCAATTCAATTGGTCTTTGCTGAAAAAGATGGTGTTGTTTTCAGAAAGTTGGTCCTCAGAGGAGAAACTTTCTCTATTCTCTGTGATTTCACATATAAAATAAGAGATGGGCTTGAGCCCCCCTGCCAATACAAATGGTGTCTAACTCTGGATCCAGGCCACATCCCACCTTTGTGACCTGGTGCATCCCTCACCCACAGTAGCAGCTGGGCTTGGTGATCTGACCTACCTGCTGATCTCTACATCGCCTGTCAGGAGGTTTTCCAATCGGAAGGGCTGACTGAGGGGGATATCACGTGAAAGGATGTCCTCTTGCCACACCTTATACACCATTTCATTACGGAACTCCCAGTTGAATGCCCCTTCATAGCTCAGGAAGGCGGCACAGAGCAGACAGTCTCCAAGCAATTTCACTTTTCGCATTTTTAACTCCTCTAAATCCTTTGTCCATCTGGTAGAAAAATGGAGGAATACAGGGTCAGGTCAAGGTTACTGTTGCTGCACAGTGAGAAGGTGTAAGAGAATTCTACAGAGCACAAAGTATCTTTTGAAACATTAGCAGCAGGTTGAAAGAGTCCAACTTATCGCAGCTGCCAGCAGACAGTTGAGTCAGACTTGGTACCTCCTCTCTTTTAATCTAAAATAAGTCTCATACCTTTAACTAGTATTTTCCCTCTTTAAATTGAAAAGATCAACTGAAAACCTGTCTGATAAAGGCCCCAAATTTTAAAAATCATATTACCAATTTGTATTATTTTTTCACTGCTTAGTTGCTACAGGGAAACAAACAAAACACACAGGTTACAATCTTCAAAGATGCTTAAGACCCTAAGGTGAATTTGAAGGTTTTATCCATGTCTCAACCTCTAGGATCTTACATTTTAATAGCAAAATCTCTTCTTCCAGGAACTAGCCTCACCTTACATTTTCAGAGCCCAAACCAGAGATGAGCTTGTCAGCAGCAATAAGTCTCCTCTCCATAATCTCTGCTTCTTCTTGCAGTTGTTGCTTCTCCCTTATTGCAGCTTCATACTTGTCCCCCAAAGCCTTCAGCTCATTTTGAATTGTCGTCAGCTCTGCCTGTATCTTTTCCAGTTCACGTTTACTTAAGAAATAGTTTCGTTCCAACCTGGCCACCTGCATTATTAAAGGCATCGTGATGCATAATGGAAGATTTTTTTCAGCTTTTAAGTTTCTATTTTTACATGCAGATGGTTTCTAGTCCCATTTTAAAAAGTCATGAGTCTGGTCTCTGCTTAAGTCCAGGAAAAGGAGTCTTAATCTACCATTGAATCCCTCTATGCCAAATGCCATGGGTATTATTTTAAGTCTGTTGCAGGTAGGCACCTATAAACTTTAATTTCCTCATGCAGACATTACTTTACAAATTCCTCTTGGGCACATCTCTTTTCCTTCCAGCTGCAGTTCAGATGGGAATCTGCATCACAGAGCTTTAATATGTTGAACACAACAGCTTGCAGCTGAAAGGCTGTATAGCCCTTGGCTGCCATGGTTCTAGCAAACTCCACTTTCACAAACTCCACAATTTATATCATTACCAAGCATATTTTGTCATAATAAAAACTCTTCAATGACCCTCGTGATCGTGGTTGCACACAGTACCTTCTCTCGCTTTGGCTTGACTTCTTTAAATACATCACAGTAGCTCATTACTGCTTCGACAAATTTCAGCATTCCCAATCCAGCTCTGCTAACAACTTCCATTTCCTCAAATGTGGTATTTAGATTCTTTAACAGAGCTAAATGTTAACACACAAAACATAACACAATGAGGTTAATCACAGCCAGAAGTCAAAAGAGGAAGTGCTTTTATTATTAACAAGACTCTCAGCCCTAACTGTCATTCTGCTCTATTTGTAGGATATAAAGGTGATGTCGCTGGACCATAATATTATAAGCAAGCTATTGTTAGTGACTTCTTAAGGTTCTCTAGGCCCAAATGCGAGTTGCATGAGCTCAATGCTTCGCAGGTGGTGTTGCTCAGCAAGTCCCGTGGTCCTGCCTGTCATTTACTGGATGGATGTCAGTGAAGGTTGTCTTGCTCAAAGAACCAAAATGTCCTCTCACTCTTTGCTTCTCAGTGGAGTTATTCTGGATTTATATCAACATAAGCATGAGCAGAATTTAGTCCAATCTGCTTAAGCTTAGCCTACAGTACTGTTTCATGTGCAAGTGAATTGGTAACAGTCCTTTCCAAAGGGCTAAATGCAAACACAAGCTCTGCTCCACGTTTGGTTCATGTCTAGCCTCTTCTTGGCAGAAGTCGCTACCGACTATATTACATATTATGCTACAAGCCCTGCGCAGAAACCTTTGTGCCATCAAAGTCCCACATAAGCCCCTGGGGCAATAAGTGGTGCATCTACCTTGTGCCAGCCCCCTGCACATGGGCATACATCATCCCAACAAAGCAGTGCTTCAAGCGTAGCAGCTAACATTTGAAATACTATCACCAAAATGCTATATTCATCTATCTCCAAGTGCCAAGTCACTCAGTCAAATAATCTACCTCGGATGGATTTGACCTGGCTCTGAGTGATTCCATCAAAATCTATTTCCATTAGGGATCGCAAGAAATTTGCCTCTGACATCATTCCTTTGGCTGTCTTCCAGTTCAGTTCTTTGTAGCCTCTCATTATGAGGATACATTCGCACACAGTCTGCACCTGTTTGGGGGGTTTAGCAAATGACCTGGAAAATACATACAGGGTAGAGGGGGGGTAGAAAAGAAAAAGCACATATTATTGGAAATACAAAGTATTTGTTGGAAGGCAGTTTAGTAGGTATTTGGTGGGGAAAGCTCTGTATTGGAGCAGCAGGAGCCTTCCCCAAGGCATATCCTCATCCAAGCAAAAAACAGAATTCAATCCACAGAAGGAAAGATTAATGAACAAAGGACTAAAAACTAGATATTACTATCACACAACTTCCCCAGTGCTGCCAATGGACTGATCCAGGAATAAAACCCATAGCTACAGTTTTCCTGAAGATTAAAGCTTCACCAACCTGGATGAGCAGTCAGGCACTTTGAGGAGAACTAGGAAAAGGTCCCATAGGGGAAGAAAGGTAATGAAGTGCAGAGGGACATATTTACACTACCTCTGATGGTGCTAGGGAGCACCACGGAAAACCCCACCCCTCCCACTTGCTTCATCTCCATGTGCAACAAATGCTGGAAAAGCATAATTAACTGCTGTGTGATGTGGCTACTCTTGGTCTTGAGTGTTTGTTGGTGCAGACCTCTATAATGGTGCCTGCACTTCCCTTTTTTTGGCACTTGGTGTATGTGGAGTGGAGTTGGTGGGCAGACTATGTTTTCGTAGGTGTGTTCCCTGCCATGGCAAGAAGTAGCCCAGACAGAGCCAAAGACTGGGAGGATGTTCAGTGCATCAGACTACATGTGTGAAACATAAGCTCTACAATCATCATGTCTATCCAAAAGAAAAGCAGACCCCTCAGCCATCTACCACATGCTAGACACATGCTATAGAATGATTAAAAATATGTAACATATGGGATTTCCTTGCCTAAGGGATAAGCTTCTGGCTAGATCACTGGGCCTGGGTTCAGGAAATCTGGACCCTGTCTCCAGCTGTGCCCCGGTTCTATGTCTCTAAGTCTCAGTCCTTCTTCTTGCCTCATGGAAGTATGTGAGAATGAGGCTACTAATGTTTGCATGTGACTAAGACCCTACAGTAAGGGATGCCACAGAAATGTGTGCGAATGAATTTGCTACACCCCAGCAGAATTAATTACCTAATCTCTGTGACATCAGATTTGTCAAGCTTCTGCAGCTCTAATTTAGCAGCTTCTAAAATAGGCATAGCCTCAGCTAGGGCCGTTTCAGCATCCTTCTTTTCCACAGCAATTATCTTATTCTGTTCTTCTATCTCCACAGCTTTTTCTTCAGCCAGCTTTTTCTTCTCCTCCGCTAAGAAGTGTGAAAAGCAGAATGGTAAACAGGTCACTCAGATTTATACCAAGCTAACAAAGCAGTAAAGTGTGTGGGCCTAAAATCAGAAATTACCAGGAGATCTAGATCACTCCTAACCCTTTTGGTGCTAGACTACTGGTATGCATAGCATGTTTCCCCTCAAAGACAAGTTCTTGAATGCCAAAAGTAAGAGAGTGCAGTCTCTTTCCTTACCCTTTTCCCCGCAAATCTGTTCTTTCTTATAGTGACACTCATGTTACTAAAATGCCCTTTTCAGTTAGTGTTTTTTTTTCTCAAAAAGGAACATAGATTCTATCTGAAGCTGCAGTGGATGCTATTGTAGGCAGTTGGTAATCACACAGGTTGCAATTAGGCCAGGATTCAAATCAGCAGTCCTGGTCTTAAACTAGGCATCATATGATACCATGCCGCGATACTGGATCACAGTACAGACAGAACAGGAATACCATTGACTGAACCCCTAACATCCAAGTTCCTTGAGGGTCTCCCGCACCATAATACCACCTGGCCTAAGCGTACTTTGCTAACAGGATGTGACAGTGGTTTCAAACACTTACCTATTGCTGTGTTAGTTGCTATCTCCTGTAACAAAGCCTCACAGGCAGCTGACTTCTCAGCTAACACAATCTTCTGCTCTGCTAGTTTCTGATTTAGCTCATCCAGCTGTACAGCAGCCTCCTTCAGTTTATCTAATCCCCCTTCCAGACGTTTGCACTGAGCTTAGAGATAGAAAGAAATGTGAGTGATGAAAGGGTCTATCACACAGTGCGCCAAACAGTGCTGCAGAAGGTGTCCTGTGCTTGTTATCAACAGAATTCAGCACTTTTCTTAGTGCTGCAGCAAAGTTTCCTTTATTTTTTTGAGGGGTCACAAATTATCATAGTACTCACAGAGCCCAGCCTCCTTCCCACCTCACAAACAACCAGATTTTACAACCCTGATGGTTAATGCATTCTCCATATCTTGGTGTCCACAACTCTTTGATCAACTACACTGCATGTAGCACAGAGCTATCTTGAAACTAAAACCTGAGCTGGACCTGAGCCACTGGGATCTGCATCCAGACCTGGCTGAATTTCAGGGATCACTGGATCAGAGATTGTCTCAGAAAAAAAGAAAAAGGAACAGCATCACCCTGGGAGAAGCCCATTATTTCAAGTCACATTAATGGGAAACATTGAGCTGCATTTAATTAGCATCTTGTGCATGTGCCTCCAGGGTGAAATGGGTATGTATTTCTTTTTGAAAGCATATAAATCACCCAGAGCCTTAAAAAGAAAAAAAAAACTACATGGTCTTACCTAAAATGAACTGATTTTTCTCTTCCAGCAGTTTTGAATAGGTATTAATAAAATCAAGGTAATTCTTTGGAGTTACATAGTTGCTACGTCTCAGCTTCTGCAGGAATTTCTTACTGAAATCCCCTACAGATTCATGCACCGTGACAATGTGTTCAATCACAAACTCCGTGTTCTCCGCTGGGACCAGAGGATTCTCCCCTAGAAGAGGACAGGAGAAATAAAACATCCCCAACCCTCTTTCAAGACTACAAAGGATAAGTTCTCCCTACTTTACAAAGAGGGAAATAAAGGCAAAAAGAAGTGAAATGTTTGCTCTGGGACCAAAAACAGTCAATGCCAGTTAGGAACAGGACCCAGGAGTCCTGATTGCCAGTCTCTTCTCCAGAGCTTGGGGGCTCTCTCATTGCTAGAACATCTAAGATGTCTTATTTCGACATACCATCCCCAGCCTTTGTGAGAGGCAGTGAATTGGAGTTTGAGGAGAGGTATAAAACTACCCATTGTTATATAAAGGTCTTAAGCATTACAGTTCAAAGCACCATCTCCAACCACCAACTGCTGAAACTTCCTTAGCCTGACGAAGGGTTTTTGAACCCAAAAGCTTGTTTAATAATTGCTTTCCAACTATTTAAGTTGGTTTAATAAAAGATATCAGATTCACGCAAAGAACCTTGTCTGCCTATCTCCAACTAGGAGTTCTAGCACAAAGGCCTGACGACATCACAGAATAAGACTAGACTAGCTGGTGCTGACGAACTTTTCCACACTATCTCTCCATACGGAACTAGGAGTGTTTTTGTGCAGTTTAGGCTAATCTGCTTAATCTAACCCACAAAAAGACACTCAGTGCAGCAGCAGAGTATCTGCATAGGAGTTCATGCAAAATACCTACTGTCATTTAAAGTCATGGCCCAGCTATTCTGTGATAGCTTTCCCCTTAGCTCCCCATACCAACCAGAATTAAGTTAATTCACCATGCTCTAAGTCAGTTCAACAAAAGCTGTAAGTGGTGGCTGTGAGGGTGGTTGAGAGCAGATAATCTCTTGCAGTCTGAGACAACAAATTCAGATCTGTAGGAAGTCTGAAAACAAAGGCCTTGACAAGTTAAGAATCAAGCGTGTCTTGTGAATTCTTTCTGGGAAGACTGAAGGCCTTAGGAGCAGTGTTGAGATGCATCAACCTTCTGATCTCTTCCTCTTTAGCGGACAGGAGCAAGTGAAAATGATACCAGGTAACACTGCTTTATAACTAAGTTCTCAAATCCTTTGCCCTTCTCTTCTCAGCCCTGAAACTACCTCCCATGCTCCCTTGGATGCCCTGGGTAGCATCTGTAATAGTGCAAATGAATATTTGGAGCACAAGTTTCAGGGCTCTCAATGGGACCTAAACAAATGTACAAAATATATTTGAAGAAGAGATTTACATCTGAAATAATTTTGACTGAGGTTTCTTTAGTTAGTGAAGGTGTGAACAATGAGGCTTACAATAGCTTTGAGCAAGGAATGCATGTTTTTGACACCTTACGCCATATTAAAGAAACATTCTACTTACCAACAAATGACTTTGCAACTGCATACAAAGCTTGTGGGGGCCAGGGCAAGAACCAGTCAATACCAGTGTTGTTGACAAGACCTTAAAGTAAAGGAATACTATCATCAAAACAACCCATCTCTAATATTAGCCCTTGATCTGGAAAATGTGCACATATGTATCTTTACCCATGTGGGTATGAAGCTGGCAGGATCAAGGCCCTAATTAGTGTGTGTGTCTGGTATTCTGCACAGCTGCTTACACACAAGTCAATCCATCCATTTCAGTATCAAATATAAACCCAGTACCTTGTGTCTATGCCTACCCCCTATTCCAATGCCAGGCAGTAGCCATTAGCAGGAGCGCTTCTCTTATTACAGTCTGAATTTCACAGCTGCTCACAAGCCCACTCTTCTCTATAAATATCACAATAGAGGATGCAAGCAGCTTGAGAGTTACTCTAACATGCTGCCTTAATGCTGTATGTTTCTGGTTCAAAGGAGATGACTAATTGATTGCTAGCAGTTTGACTGGATTATGACCTAAGCTAGTAAATGTTAATCAATAATCTCCATTTATGTGTGGTAATTAACTGGAACAAAACGTAATGGATTATTTCTGAATGCCCTGAAGCTGTTTAACTACTGGACTGACACCCATCTGTTGTAACTCATCAGAGATCAGCAGACCTGTACCCCCAAACTACAAAGGCTTAAACACCAGCATGTAAAATTTAATATGCAGTACCTGGGAAATTTCTGCATCGTGTTCTCAAGGTATCGCCAACTGGTGACATCCCCAGGACAATATGAAGATTATTGGCACTCTTATTTACAAAATACTGCCAGACACTTTCTTTAGCAGGGCTCACTCCAGCTTTGGCAGCTTCATCACCAATCTGACCTAGTATGGCATCTTTTTCATCATCAGGAAAAAGTGCTGGGACCATCCCTATAACATAAAGAGAGAGTAGCATTAGAAAGCCCGTGGTCTGGCTAAGAGGCAGCATAGCCAAGAGGTAGGGACAGGAATTTCTGAGATCTAACCCTGGTCCAGCAAAAGTGATTTATCCACAATTATCCAGAGAGTCAAGTGAAATCTGACAGAGAAGTTTGCAAACTCTGGTCTGTGGAACTTCTGTGGCTTGCAGAGCTTTTGCTAACAGTTTATTGAGAGCAGTCAGTCACAAGGTGTCAACTTCTCCTCATTTCCAGCTACTAAGTACATTATATTATATTAAAATATTGACGATTCAGATATAATCCCCCAGGCAAGCAGATATTTCTCAGGGGGCAAGATATGCCCATTACCCTCTGAAGATACCCATGAGATTTATCTCCCTATTCATATATACTCTACAACAGGAAAAACTTTAATAATTTGGAATCAAACACCAGGCCCGTGGCTTGTTGTTTTCAGGTTCACTAACCTAACCAGACATAGATATGCAACCATTAGGAGGTGCTGAAAAATTATAGCCCAACCCACGATCATTTCAGGTAAAATACTGTCCTCAAGAAAAGCATAAGTTTCAGCATCAGGGAACACAATGTGATTAGGCAATGTTAACACTGAAGAGCTGTGATTAGCTGATGGGGAGAGCAAAGGAGAGCAATGCTGTGCTTTCAGTTGTGCATCAAAAGTAAATTCTGGCTTAGCAATCAACAAGCCCATGTCACCTGAAGTTAGCATGTTGTTGATGAGCTCCAGAAAACCTTCTTCTGCCACATGGGCATCTGTAAACAGGAAAATCATCAACTTGTTCTCAATACCAAGCTTCAGATACAAAGTCTTCAAATCTTCCCGGAAATTGTTTTCTCCATACCCTCGACTCAGAACGATCTCAAACACCTAATAGTTCAACATAAAAATACATTTGAAAGGCACAGTACATGAAACACAGAGATTTTCATAGACATTAGACATTCGGGCTGGAAGGGACCTCGAAAGATCATCAAGTCCAGCCCCCTGCCCCAGGGGCAGGAAGTCAGCAGGGGTCATAGACTCCCAGCAAGATAAGACATGATATCTGAGTCTGAAATTCAGCTACTACGGAGTTCAGATCAAGGATAGATCTTTAGGCCCACTGTAAGGAAAACATCAAGGTAACAACATGACAAAATATTTGCTGCCCTGTGGTCTTTTTGAACCCCCCTCCACTTCCTACAGTCTTCTACCATCACCACCTCAAGATTAATTTGGGGGTCCTCGTCCTTTGTCACCCCTCCCTTCTTCCTCCCACTGCCTTTATAAGATCATCAGTTCTGTGGGGGAGATATTCTTTCACTTCATATTTGTATCAAGCCAGGCATAATGAGCACTACCATAATACAGATAAATAACTGACCATAATAGTAAATAAAGGCCACTGGTTTTTCACTTAGGCCCTTCAAACACATCTTGTGTCTTCCCCACTGCCAGTGCCCAAATCCAAGCTCTGATCATTTCCAGCCCCAAATCACTGCAACCTCCCCTACTTGCACCTCTTAACACTCACTTCACCTCCTCCTGTCTCTCCAAAAGCATGTTGCTAACCTGATTTGATCTCCACCAGTTTTCCTTCACTTTACACACAGTTTAGCCCTTCCACTCCCTCAGATCTGTCCTGGTTCCCTTTCACTGAAAATACAGAGTCCCACAGACCTCATATCCAGCTGTGTACGCAGCCAGTCTTGCAAGGGATTGCTTGCCCGAGCCTCCCACTCCTACAAGCAGGGCATGGCCACGATCCATCCGTATGATGCGATGCACACGGGTTAAATGCTCCAAGGCATCATCAAAGAGAACGAGATTCATTTTAGTATTAACTTCATTGTACTCCTCAAGAATCTCCTGTGGAGAGAATTGTTTAGACCATTAACAACAGAAATGGGACACATGGAAAATGCTGATGTTCATACAGGAACCATTTATTTAGAAGTAATTTGCATTTAAGTGCATTTAATCTATTTTTCATATTTTTTACTAGAAAGACTGTCAAAGTTAATAGCCACCCCTCCTTGCAGTTGTTGTCAACTCTGTAGTCATACAGACAGAATCAAACATAGACCTTAGGTGTACCACAATACCTGAAAGAGAGCTTTTGCTGCATCATAGTCTTGAATGTCTTCATAAATGCGAGGTTCCCCTTCATTCAGTGCCATTCTGAAGTCTCCAAAAAGAACAGGGTCTCTCATGGCTGGCTCTAAATCTTCTTTGAAATTGTCTTCTATCAAGCTCTTTATGTGGCTTTGTACCTTAAAGTATGTAAGACGAATTTAGTAAAATAATAACAAAGGCAATTCTGAATTTAGGAACCCTTGGAGGGCACAATGCTGCAAACTCTAACTCCTATAAGTTGGTTTCTGTGGGATTGTTTATATAGATAAAAGTCCTGGTGATCAGGCCATACTATCATTCTCCATTTACAATCTGAAACAAGACACAATATACAAGCAGTTCAGGAACCCCTGGAGCCAATAGAGTATACAAGTTTAATAAGGAGCAGAACGGCCTTTTTAAAAAGAAATAATAATGCCAACTGGCAAAAATCACATGCCTCTCCTTCACTTTTATTATTAGGTCTGGTGTCAGGACACCAAAACCTCATTCAGTCTTGCAGTATGTAATGTGCACACGTGTTATATACTCTCTCACACACAGGCATAGAGATATAAATCCAGAAGCTAACACAAGCAAGTTACAATGTAGCTATTCAGAGATGTGAAAAGAGACTGAAAAGTAAAAGCATGCCTTTCTAACTTGAAGAAGAAAAGTTGAGGCAGGACTAGCTTATTGCACCTAAACCCAGTTTTTACATCTAAGCATCTCTGCTAACTTTTAACTGGGCTTTACATAGCTTTTCCCCCAATTCTGTAAATGTGTTTCCTTGTTTGTGATATAATTTTGAGTATCTTCCGATTCGAAAAAATACTATATAAGAATGAATGGACTGACGGTTCATCTCTACCTTTTTCTATCTTCCTGCATTGTCATATCTGATACATAAAGTAGCATCATAATTTCTTAAGGGAGCTAGGCAAGAGTGAGTTCATGTATTGTTTTTCATCTACACTCCTGTCACTCATTGTGCATGTCGGGTGTATCCATGCTAACAAGTTTTCTCAAGAAAAATGAGTCCAGTAACACTCATGTAAATTTCTACATGGCACGGAGGCAGAGTGATGTCATTTTTTTGCTAAACTTTTTGGAGTGGGGACCATCTTCTTGTTCCACCTTTGTGTGGTGTCTAGCTCAGTGGGCCTTAAGTCTGATTAGGGCTTCTTTGTGCTATAGCAGCACAAATAAGCAATAACATTATGCAAGCTTGGATGTACCAAACAATAAGGACACTGAGCACATCAAAGTTTTTTACTTAGTCAAAGTATGACAGTATAATACATAACAACTGTAAGCCCCGACCTGTGTAGTCCACGTAGAGGCAAAACTCCTACCAAGCCAAATTCACAAGTGATGCCATAAAACTGCCTCACTCTACGGGTAGTGACTTCCACCAGTTTACCTGAAGGCCCTAACTCCTTACACAGGCAATACTTGCAGGGATTTATCGTCTTCATTAATCATTCTGGAACTCATGGAGACAGGTCTGCAGGACTGGAACTTATAAGCTTTAGGATTCAGCACACCTTGCAAAGTTATGGCAAGATGATGGTAACCAATGCCAGTGGATTATGAATTGTTCATGAAGCTTAAAATCCATGCAACATATTCTGTTTTCCAATGTTATATTACATATTAGGCTTTGAGGTTTCCAACTTTTCAAAAGAAGGTTGTAATTTAGGAAGATAAGAAATTAAATATCCCTTTATCTCTCTCTGTTCATACATTCATGTATTCTGTTTGGTCAATTTCTCTTAGAGGAAAGAAAAATGTTAATGGTTCTTTCACTCAATGGGCCATGTCTGAAGTGATGGAACTACTCTGGCATAAAACTGGAGTGACACACTGGCAAATTAAGCCTCCAGCTTGATTTCAAGACACTAGTAGAACAATGGGTAATGTTACTGTTTTGAATTAAATTACCATAATAGTAATAAAGGACCGCTAAGAATTGGAAGAAGTTACTCACCAGTATCTTGTCTGCTTCATTAATCAATCTGTCATGGAAAACTCTCAGACACTCATTTCTCCAGACTCTCACCATTTGCATGACTGTTTGGAACCTACATCAGTATTGAAATATTAGCTTGCATCAAAGCATTAGGTACAACACATATAGCCAAGCAGTTAATAGTACTTTCATCAGAATCAGGATCCATTTCCTTTTTCAGTAGAAAGAGAAAGTCTCTTGCCTGTAACTTTATCTCCCAAGATCATATTACAGAGATTCAGAGGTCAGCTTTTGTTATCAGGGACCATATCACAATTCAGGATTTTCCAGAATCTTTTTTTTCACTAAGCAGTATGCGTACCATGAAAAGTACAACAGATTCTTTCTTACCTACCCAAAAAATAATGAAAACCACCAGGCCTTTCATGTAATTACATCACTAGCTAATTTGATTAAAACCCTAGAATCAAAGCATTTTTATTTCTATCCTTCAGTTTTAAGTACGACTGCTTGCTTAGGCAAAAATATCGGTAAATTTCTTCTTTGATTCCAGGGAGTTACCTCTCAGCCCCAACTCAGCAGAACATTTAAATACACACTGCAGCCTCACCTAATCAACAAACTACTTGTGTATGTGCATGTGCTTAAGTCTTACTGACTACAATAATATCTACAATCAACGTACACAAGGAATTTCATGAATGAGACAGGAATACTGAACTGGAGGCTTAATTCTTAAGGAAGAGGTCAAAATACCTACCAGAGTAGAAGAAAATAGGGCCTGTGGAAGACCCAGGATATTCAAAACTGTCTTCTGGACACTGCTTACAGGCCTCGTAAGTACTACTATACACTATGCAACCTGTAATCTGCACGTTCCTGGTGATGAGGATAATAAGGCAAGTCATTTGCTTTACTCATAATAATAAGCAGAAAGCTGACTCGGTTATGGGAAGAGACTGTATGTAGTCCAAAGCAGGATCAAAGCTGAACCACAGCAGAAGCTGGGAAGCTAGAAGCTGGTATTTATACAGCATCTGTAGACTCTGACATCACAGCCAGCTTAAGAACACAGCACTAACATAGCCCCAGGTGATTGAGTCCAACCTCGTGCTGTCACAGCCAGCCACATCACATAATCTACTTCCTGAATCAATCAAATCCAGGACCTGATACCTCATTACCATCTGGCAAAGACTCTGGTCATTACTGAATGTAATGGAGGTTGAATGTATGGAGGCTCACCTAGTGGCAGCAAACTCCCAGTGAGTGTGAAGCTGTCAGAACAGGTTCCTGCATCACCCTCTTCCTTCACCCTGTGATAGTGTATGGCAAGGGGAGGAAGACATCAGGGCACTATGACCCTCAGCTGGCACACAGCCCTTCAGGGACTAGAAAGTTAAGACCTCCTTAACTTCTCTAACGCATACCTAGGCTGAGAAGGATGCAGACAGGCAATCTCAGAATAAAGAACCTGACTCTTCAGTGCCCAAATTTTGTGAGCTAAATAGAGTTCATCTGTAGAAGAAAACTGACCTGAATATCTCACCGCAGACTGCACATGCTTTCTGAGTAACGAAATCACCACAGCCTGGGCTAGAGCCTCAGCCAACATAAATGGGTACAGTGCCACTGAAGTCAATTTTTCTGAACACTTTCCCCTAAACTCACCTCTCTGGGGTGGTAAGAAGAAGACCGTTGTAGATCCTGGAGAGATCACGCAGATTAAATATGTAATGAAATTTGGAAGGTGTTGGGGGCAAGTCACGAACAATCATTTTGTAAAGTTCCAAAGTGCAGGATGTCATCTTGTCAGAGATAATCGCGATAGATTCATTAAAAGCCTACGAACCGGAAAAAATAAACAATTCTTCACATGTCTGACCAGGGAGAAAGGTGTTTCGTCAAGCATCATCTGCTTTCCAATCCTTTTACCCCTTCTTGTTACACTTAAAATGATCTCAGTGCAAGGCAGTATTTTTTTCAGAAATTCATAACATAACTGGCACATCTTTCACTTAGACCACTCATTTTAGTGCTTTGACTACAAGCTACAGAGCACGGACCATATTTTCCACTGTGCTTGTATAGTGCCTGGCATAGTGAATGCCTACTTCTTGGTGGGCTTTCTTTCTGATTTTAATACATTTTTATTTAGCTTTAACCTTTATATATTAAACAGACTGAAAACCCCGTTACATAGAGAAAGGAAAGAGAAGAGGAAAGTGAAGGGCCTGTATAAGGATCTAAAATGCCTTTTAGATCCTTACTGGGTTTTTGGTTGTATCTGTGTTGGTCTGAGGACATAGGCAGGCAAGGTTCTTTGGGTAGACACGATATCTTTTATTAGACCAACTGAGTAGTTGGAAATCTTTATACAGGCTAAATGCCATTTAGTCTAAAATGACTAAAGCAAATCAAATTGAAGTGGCAAAACAGTTGGTCACTATAGATACTAAGCACGATCAAAATACCCACTCAGATCAATGGAAGAAGCCTGGTGATTTCAGAGGGCCTGTGGACTTAAGGTGAATAACAAGATCAATCATATTATTATACTTGTTAATACTGGCAATCTAATATTTAGCATTATTTGCTACTACAGCTTGAAACACCCTGCTAATTACATGGCTATGGGACCAAACAGTACTCTTAAATTAATATATGGAACTCTCCCAACTCGAATGGAGAGCCATAAAAGTAATTACCTGTACACACAACAGTCCCCACCCATGTAAGAGAAAGATGGAACATATACAACAACAGGGATAATCAACCAAAAAAAGAATTCAGGTTCTGCAATTTTATATTTAAAATAACAATAAACCCATTAAATAATGCAAATTACCGCAGTGTGGCCTTTCAGGATGGAGGCATAAATCAAATGCAAAGACTGCTCAGAAGGGAAAGGTACATTGAAAACACTGAAGAGTGAAATAAAGCGAGGGTCAACTTCATTACGACCTCCTCCAGCCTTTCCCATAGCAGCAATAAAGCCAAGGTCTCGAAGAAGCTTACAGTTCATCTCTTTACCACGATCATACACGGAACCTTTTTCCAACAGCAACTTCAACAAGGCAATTGGCTGCTGTGTACCATATTCATCAACCTTTGTAAAGCAAAAAAGCCAACACATTTAAAAGACAGCTCTTAACAAGTTTCCAGCTACTACAATGAATGCATAAATAATTAGCTCCAAATGTAATGCATCATTATTATATCTGAGTGCTATTTTGTAGGCTTTGGAGATGGAATATCCATGTTCAATTTTAACTCAGGAGAGGAAACTGCATCATTTCACTGATGTGCAATACACATCCACTTCTTCCCAGCTCTTACAAGAGGTACGGTCTGGTTCTCTTAAGAAGCCATGTCCACTAGCGTCAGCTGAGAAAAGGTCTTTTGATACATATTTAAGAACAAGAGGAAATGGAAATCCCACTACCAACCCCGCCAACCAAAAATGTGCATTTTTGAAGTTTAAGAGTGATATTATAACAGCACTACAACACCCCATGGTGCCCAGTAGTCCAAGCCTTCAGGTATCTTAATGGACAATACAAATGCAGCCTGTTGTGTGTTTTCTTCTACTGCAAACAAGTTGGCACTTACCCTTGGCATATTCATGTCATCCATGAAAACCAGAAGGCGTTTTCCCATGGGGGGGCCATAAGTGTCCTTTGTACGTTTCTCTACATTAGCTTCTAAGTTTCTCTGAATGTCCATTGATGTTGTGCGTGAGGAAAAGTTAATTATTAGCAGCAACTGCACAGGAAGATACAAATGATCAACATGGATTTTTAGTAACTTTTTAAGAGTTTCTCAGAAAATATTCTTTATATTCAACAATATGGGGAACAATTAGAGCACAAGATAGATGTGAAACACTACACAGTTTAGCTATTCACTTAAAATATGGATGGTTTAAAAATATATATATTCCATTTGGGAGCTCAACTACATAGCAGAACAACTACTTGACGAACATGTTTTCTTATAAAAAACTGAATCTCAACAGAGATTCTCAACAATAATATAGTAGGTTTGATTCTAAAATACCTCATGTATATGGGCCCAGAGTGTACACAATTAGAACCCTGTGTCCATGTGCTATCTCAAAATCAAAAGAGCTAGGTACACGTCTGTCTGTGGAGATCCAATGACAGAGTCAGGGTCTTGAATTGAAATGCAAATGAAGGAATTATTTCACTTACCACTTCAATGCAGCCACTTCTGGGGTGAAATACAACTACTAAGCCACACACAAAATAAACAGGAAGATACCAGTTTGTCACCAGCACAGAGGAAAAGACTACATACGTTAGTGTCTTGGTTCAAGCCTTTTAAAAAGTTTTGGGTAGTTGCTGTCTTAGAAGTTCCAGATTCACCCACAAGGACAACAGGCCGTTTGATTTTCACCATCTCTTCTAACAACCAGGTAGTGCGTGTTGTATCCACAGTAGGAACTAAATAAGTAAATTAAATTAAATTAAGAAGTAGTTAATTTAACATGCAACACACCTGGGAGGTTCTGCACATGTAAAACCCTACTGGGTGGGACCCATAATTTATTAATGAACATTTGCACAAAGGTGTACTCCAGAACATTAGATCAGTACAATATTTAATGAACAATCTCTATTGTACAGCCTTCTCACAGCACCATTTATCACAGAACTTTTCTTACATGTGTTGAAATCAATACGTTAGAGATCCCTGTGCAGAGATCCAATGAAAGGGTCATGAACCATGTAAGCCACTTAAGCCCTCTTTAGGAGGTAGAGCTGAGACTTACATGGCTCACAAGCCTTTTGCAGGACACCTACCTGCAGAGAAGAATCTCATGCTATGTGAATCAAAGGCAGGTATGAGGAATAGCTTTATAGACTATGTAATTATCTCTCTCAGCAGTGATGTTAACATGCACTTGCTGAATTGTTACTATAAAATAGTATGTGTTACTTTGTCATAACTGTAAAATTCATTGTCACCATTTTATTATATTCATTATGGGTTCTTTTCCTAGCCTATTTGCGCTAGGTTTTTGTTACTGAATCAGCAGTCTCTTATTCTTTTATCATGGTAGTTATATAAAGTACTGTTCCTGATGACACTTGAAAAGTGAACCATGAACAAAAAAAAAATTGTATCTACCCTTTGTGGCTTCTCTAATACTAATACAAATAAAGCCATCCTGCCAGTATTTTTTGCTTGTTCTTTACTCTAAGAAGTACTGTGAATATTTTAGTTCTCAACATCCCTTACTTTACTCAGTGGCTTTGGCAAAATGCTTGTGGAATTCAAATGGTCATATCACAAGGGGTAGAACCTGAATAGCTGCTGATCTCTGGGGCAGAAAGGGCAAGGCTGTCTAAGGTGCACTCTCTGGGTGCCCATACATGTGCTTGGAGGTAAGGGGAGGTGTTTTAATTACAGCAGCTCCTGGGCAGCCACTCTAAATAAAAAGGCTCAGTGTCATGTGTATTAAGGGCCCTCCCCACCCCCCTGCATTTCAAAATGGCCATAGGGGCACTTTAACTAAGGCTCATTTGACAAGGTTTAATTAAAGCACCCCTACAGCCATTTTGAAACATGGGGGGCTTAATACATGTGACGATGAGGCTATGCTGGAGCATTCTAATTAGACTTCAATCAAGTCTGCTAACACAAAGCAGATTCAATTACCATACAGCCCTACCCCCTTCCAAAAAGCTCACTTATTATGTCTTTAAGCAAGAAAAAGAAAAGCAAGGACTAATATTTCTATAGTGAAAAGCAAACAGCAATTTAAGGTTGCATCACAAAGGAGCAGGAAATAGCAAAAAAGTTTTTGCATTATGATTCACGTTCAATTTCTGAATGAAACATCCCACAATAGAACTGTGCATGGTATTTGCTACTAGAAAACTACAGATTAGCACATTTTAAGTTAAAGGACTACCAATGTTCTATATTAGTCACCCACTTACCTAGAATGTCAATAAATCTGCCTTCTGGCTTGTGAAGGTATGCAGGAACTAGCTTGCTCCAAGGCACCCATTTCTTTTGACAAGCGTCAAAATGGAAGTCATACAAAGTTGGCAACTGACCTGCAGGATATGATGAGGTCTTTATTTAGCAACTACAGGTTATCTGGGGTATGGAGGTGCTTCCAAAAATCATTCATTTGATTGAGTTAAATGTAAAGGGCACAACCCTGCATGAAGGGTTGTGACCCAGGCCTTGTAGCCTGGGAAAGGGCATTAAGGTAGGATTAAGTCCCTCTTACACCCTTCCACTCCTGGGCTGCTTTGGGAGGTGGAAAAGAAGACTTAAGTGACCCTGAGGACCTGTCTAAATCATGGCAGTCTGCTCTGAGCCACAGCACTGGCTGGCATCTGCAGAGCTCCTTCTTAGCACACTTAACCTGGTCTTAGGGTATGAGGAAAATATTAATGAAAAAGCCATGAAACAGAGTTGCTTCCCAAGCCCTTGGGTTCCATAAATAAAAGATAGTGTCAAGAGGCTCTTACCCCTGTCTCCTTTCTTGAGCCCCGCAGACAGCATCACTAACTCGCCTGCTGCTCACACCTGGGCATTATCACTTTTCTAGGACCTGCCATCCAGGCTGTGGGTTCCCCATGATTCCCAGACAACTGGTTCTGGAGAGAGTCTAGTCACTGTTTCTTGCTACAGGCCACATGACCAACCAGGCTCTTGTCTGACACCTTTCCTTCACATGCAGGGGAAAGGCACCCATCTACCCTTACCCTGAAATACCAGTGCTGAGATGCCCCTGAGCTACACCCAGACAAACGCTCCCTCTAAAGTCTGGAACACCAGGCTTCTAAACTAATTCTCCCCTCATCTAATCCCATTCCTTCTATGAGTGCAAGACGTGCCAGTGTTTCAGGCTGCACACACAATACCAAGTAGACTTTACCATGTGATACAGGCATGGTCTGATCCATTCCAATTGTTTTCTTTAAAAAAAAAAGTGCACCAGAGTCAATTATAATGGCAAAGTCCTACCTGGCAGTTCCCCTGGCTTAGCCAAGATATTCTCCTCATGAACAGTTGACATGGAGGATATTCGTTTGACACTTTCATCAAATTTAATTCTGCCTGCATCGAGAAGGCTGGCACCTAAAGAGGAATACAGAGCTTCCAGGAAGTAACATTCCAGAACATCAGTGTCATCAGGCTCTCCCACTATTAAAGCTTCAAGCATCATTGTCAACTGCACCACCTGTTGGAGAAGATTGCAAAACAGTAACTTGAGAAGACATACAGAATTTTGATGACTTAATGTGCCTAATTCTCTTTTCTTTTCATCCCTCTGTAAAGTCTTTTGTAAGGCTCTGTCTGCATGCATGCAGGTGTCTGTAAATGCAGGTATTAGTTAAAATAAAATAAAAATGTTAACAATCAGATGATCATCTCTCTGAAAGTGGAAGAAAAGGGATGTTGGCCTGCCTGAAGATTATATCAAGAAATTCCTCAGTCCCATCAGGGACTCTATTGATGGAACTCTGAAATAGTTACTTACTCTTAGTTACTTACTCTTTGGGCATGTCTTACTCTTTGGGTATGTCTATGGCATGTGAATAAACTGTGGAGCTTATTGTTCCAGAGTTTATTGCTCCTGGGCACACCATTTGAACACATACCCAGGAACAATTAACTCCGGAGCAATAAGCTATGCTCTTTATTCAAGCACAGAACATGGAGCCAGATCAGAGCAGCCTCAGCAGGCAGGGGGCCCCAGGGTCAGTCTGCCAGCCTGGGGCTGCTCCCTCTGGCTCAAAGTGCTGAGGAGGGGCTGGCTGGGGCACAAGGGAGCTTCAGTGAGGAACTAGCCAGCAGGCAGCCCCCTCACTGAAGCTCTCTCATGCCCCAGCCAGTCAGGCAGCATCTACACACACGCTGATGCAGAGCTGTTTACTCTGCAGCACGATAGTACTTATATTTACAAGTACTATCCTCCAGCAGAGAAAATTAGTTTACTCCAGCCTAACAGAGGTGCACATGGAGACACTGCAGCTAATTAGTCAACTGCATAGTAAGCATCTTGTGTTGATGCACATTCTACAACTCATATTCCTCTGCTGTTGAAGCCACCTTACTCAATACTCATTATTTCTTACCATATTTAAATCTGTTTGAGGGACAATTGTCTTCAGCTTCTCTCCTTGTTTGCCATCTACAATTCCTTCTACAATCAGGCTAATAAGGTAGGGGACATATTTTTCAAACAGTCGATCTAACTCAACTTGTTCTTGCTGAGGAAAAAAATGACAATTGTTTAACAACTTAAAAAGATTAAAGTGCCACCTATTTAACTCATTGTAATTAGTCTTGGATACTGTTACTTTTTTTATAAAAATAACTAAACAAACACCTTAGTGTTATGAAAGACCACAATTTTTTACTTGACTTATACTGAAAACATAATGGTGATAAAGACAGCTACTTGGACTTTTGACAATGTTTACTCTTGATAAAATCCATCAAAGTCATGGCATAGGGTTATTCTACAAGTATGTCACTCTATATCAGAGATTCTCAAACTGAGGTCTGCAAACTACCACTGGTCCGGGAGCTCCACTCAGGTGGTCCGCAGAAATGTTGCAGAACAATCAGAAATATCTGTAGTTGTCAGACAAGACTACTGATATTAAAATATGAGTTGCGTGCTTTGATTTCTAAAACAAAAAAAAGTTTATTAAGTGGTTCTCCAAGACCCTCAGCAATTTTCAAGTGGTCCGCGAAAGAAAAAGGTTGAGAACTACTGCTCTATATTTTTTTTTAGAATCTATTTTTGCCTTGGTATAATATAAAAAGAACCTTTCTGAACATATATACACCATTTTGCATATGGAGACATATGCATATGTATAGGTCCTGGCTTCACTATTTTTTAATAGGAACCATTCTGCTCGTGTCAGGTTTTGCCTTTGACTCTGGAAATCAGGTACCAACCACTAATCTGTTTTTCTTTACCTGCTTTCACAGACAAAGAATTAAAAGACAACAAGCCCATTCATCTCTAAAAAAATTTAGTAACAGTGACCTGAAAAATAAACTCTAAAGCAATTCAGCCAATCAGGGTTTCATTATAAACATATTTACACATGCCTACAGTTCTGTATTTAATTCAAATAGTGCCTTCTAAAACCACTTTTGTAACAAAAATAGCCATTTCCTACCTTGTTACCTCTTTGTTTAATCCATTTCTCCCAGAAGGCCTTATACTTCAGGTTTTTAGGATCCACAAAAACCATCCCACAACGGGACACAGTGGCAGGAGAGGCATACTGTAAGTCTCCGACCTAGAAAATAGTTACATCATAGCCATAAACAGCTCCTGTTCCTGAGAATCTGAAGACCTTTTATTTGCTAGTAATGTTACCTCAAACAACAGAGCACAGTGAGCCTGAAGCCTGATGCGCTCCCCATTTGCCAAGGTTAACAGCTTATTATCATCCATCACGGAATTCATGTTTTCCACCCAGAGTGCATCCACATCTCCATCAAATAAAATATACCTGTTAGCACAAAACAAGTCGTTGGGCAGCAATTAATCTTTCCTAGTTTTCAGCTGTATTTGGAAATACAGACACAGTAAACCAGCTTATTTCCTTTTTAAGCACCATCATCATCAAAAATCCTAGCACAATATGAGGATAAGGATATTACTTAGTTCTAATGGAAGAGTTTCAAGGAATCTCTTGTGCTTTTGAGCCACCTGCATGATACTTGCGCAGGCAGTTTGACTAGGTAACCTCCTGAGATCCCATCCAACCCTAATTTTCTATGATTCTATGACTGTATGATTCTACCACCCATTAACAAACTCCCAAGCCTCCACAGTCCATCGAACTGCCCGAGTCCGACCTGCCGCTGGCAGGCAGAAACGATCAACCACCTCTTCTGTGACTGCCCATATGCCAGGGAGGTGTGGAAGAAAGTCTGTACGCTCCTCCTGGTGATGACAGGTTTCAGAAACCTGAGCAGGGAAACAGCTCTCTATGGGCACCTGACCAGTCAGCCAGGGACCCCGACAGCTTGCTTTGACCAGTTCATATCCTGCTTCAGGTATGCACTGTGAAAAACTAGGAACCTGCTCATAAACAGACACTCAGACCCCACAGTCGAGGACTGTATTAAAGTGAAATGTACTGGTACTAGAGGAAGACAGAAAAGGACAATGGGACAGAAATGGCAAGACCTCATCTGGTGAAGAGGGGCCTGGCATAGACTTTTTCAGTACACCCTCTAAGGAGCGCAGTGGGTGCAGGTACGGGTATAGAGATAGGTGTGTGGGCACGTGGTTGTGCAGTGTGAGCTATGTAAGTTTTTTTGCTACCCTTGCTGCCTCAGGCAAATCATTTAGCTTCTCAGCTTTAGTTTCCCCACCTGTGAAATTCAGGCTTGTGCAGATTAGATACTTTTTTCAAATGCTTTCAGTGGGAAAAGCATTTGCTGTTAGCAGCCTTCCTCATGCATATAACACAGGGTCCTCAAATGTAATAGTGAGGTGCAGCTGCAGAAGAGGTGCCTTAGTGGGAGGTGGGGAGGATGTTTTGAATCTAAAAAGGCTGAAAACTACTGCTCTAAGGGCAGGATTACTATTTGGCTCTTGACTTCGAGGGATGAGCCCTTCCTTTTCCTTAGGATTGCACAGTTCAACTGCATTAAATATAAAAGGAAGCAACTTTGTAATAACTAAACTTGCTGATAGTTAGAATAACTAAAACTTGCTGATTTCATTTCCAGTCCCCAAACAGTTACCTTCGCTCTTTCTTATCTGTTGGTTTGTTGATCTCTCTGAAGATGTTTGAGAGAACACCGTCTGTCCAGTCTCGTGTGGTAGGGTCAAGAATACCATACAGCTCGATCACACTCATGGCTTTTGGGTTCAGTGTATAAAGTTTTGTCACTAATCCTAACCTAAATAGAGATGCATTAGAAACAGTAGTGTTACCAAGATCCTGAACATCCCAGGTTAAGCCTTTACACACTAAGC